ATTTTATCATTTCTGTCTCCACACAATCACTCACATTCAATTCCTTCTCTCTAGTCATACAATCGTGACTTTGGGCCCGTACTATTGCAAAAGCCTCCTAATCGTCCTCACTGATTCTCCAATCTATCCTCCAACATAGCTGCCAAGATGATGTTCCATTTTTTTGGAAAACATTTTTATTGATGTGTTTTGTTTTTATAGTACAAACATTCCCTGAATATCCCCATGCCATGGGAACTCTCTTTTAATAAAGTAAAATAGTGAGGCAAAACTTACAACACAGTGAATGCAATCTAAGACAACTCCAAAAGACTCACTATGGAAATTGCTGTCCTCATCCAGAATGCAAATGGAAGCAGACTATTTGCTTTCCTTTTCCTTTGTTGTTTTGTTTCATTATTTCATTCTCTTGGTCCCTCCCATTAGTTCTAATTGTTCTTTACGTCATGACAAATGAGAAAATATGCTTAATATGAATGTATAAGTAGAGCCTATATCAGATTGCATGTTGTCTTGGGTGGGAGGAAGAGTGGGAGGGGGAGAAAATTTAAAACTGAGAATCTTATGGAAGCGAATGTTGATAACTAAAAATAAATAAATAAATTTTTTAAAAAAAGGAAAGTGAATGTAGCATTCAGGAGCATGATAGTAAATCTAAACATATACTGGCTCACCAGAAAAGGAAAATGTACCCATGATACATTTTAGGTTTAATTTTCAAAATTAACATTTTCTTCATCACTTTCTTAAGTCCAGACAAGGAACAAAACAATAAATCAAGCCCTGATTTGTAGTATTTGCTAATTTCCAAAGGTATAAATGCTTCTTACTGAAAATTTAACTATCAGTTCTTGTAAGCCAGTTCAAGCTGGCTGTAGCACCCCTGGCAACATTCTGCAATGTAGCCTCCTCCCCCAACCTCTCTATTTTTAAAAGTTTTTTTTTAATTAAGTGAAAGTCATTTAACTAAATATTTAAAACCTTTGCAATTACTAGTTTATTAGTATCATCCAAGATTCAGATATTCGGTATGCCTCTGAAATTATACTTAAATGCAAAACTAAAATTAGAATCTGAAAGTCAAAATTATATAACAAAAAAGTACTCCATCACAAAGGTGTGTAAAATTATAAGAACACTATTTTAAAACATTGGCACTTAAGAGAACTATATAATTTGAAAGCCACAACACAGCCAAATTGTCTCCCCCCCCCCAGATGGTAAATATGTAAACATATAAATGGTCAGGTTTTTTTTGTTTGTTTGTTTTTGGTAAGGCAATGGGGTTAAGTGACTTGCCCAGGGTCACACAGCTAGTAAGTGTTATGTGTCTGAGGCTGGATTTGAACTGAGGTCCTACTGAATCCAGGGCCGGTGCTCTATCCACTGCAACACCTAGCTGCCCCTAAATGGTCAGTTTTTTTTTAAATTTTATTAATTTATTTTGATTTATCAACAATCACTTCCATATGCTTTTGAATTGAAAATTTTTCTCCCCCTTCCTCCCCCCCACCCTCTCCAAGGTGGTGCACAATCTGATATAGGCTTTACATTTACATTCCTATTAAACATATTTCACATTAGTGAAGTTGTAAGTAAAAATTAAAACCAACAGGAGGAACCATCAGAAAGATGAAACAAAACTCAACAGAAGGTAAAAATAAGTGATAGCAATTCGACTTCCATAGTTTTCTTTGGATGTGGACAGCATTTTCCATCCTGAGGCCTCTGGAGATGTCTTAGATCCTTGTTATGCTGAGAAGGGTTCAGTTTAACAATATTAGTCATCACATAACGTGGCTGTTATTGTGTACAAAGTCCTCTTGGTTCTGCTCACTTCACTCAGCATCAGACTATAAAAGTCTTCCCAGGTTTTTCTGAAGTCAGCCTGTTCATCATTTCTTACAGCACAATAGTATTCCATTACATTCATATACCACAACTTGCTCAGCCATTCCCCAATTGATGGGCATCCTCTCAATTTCCAATTCTTTGCCACCACAAAAAGAGCTGCTATGAATATTTTTGTACATGTGGGTCCTTTTCCCATTTGTATGATCTCTTTGGGATATAGCCCTAGAAGTGCTATTGCTGGATCAAAGGGTATGCACATTTTTGGAGCCCTTTGGGCATAGTTCCAAATTGTTCTCCAAAATGGTTGGATCATTTCACAACTCCACCAACAATGTATTAGTGTTCCAATTTTCCCACATCTTCTCCAACATTGATCATTTTCCTGTTTTGTCATGTTGGCCAATCTGATAGGTGTGATGTAGTACCTCAGAGTTGTTTTGATTTGCATTTCGCTAATCAATAATGATTTAGAGTATTTTTTCATATGACTATAAATGGCTTTAATTCTTCATCTGAGAACTGTCTGTTCATATCCTTTGACCTAAATGGTCAGTTTTAATGAATATACTATTAGCTTTAGTTTTGGAAGGGAAAACAAATTGATCAAATTAGACATTTGGTCTACGTTTTACCTTAATGCCAAATTTAAGGTGTCTATTTTATTTATATAAAATAAAATATTATGATTTTAGTATAAACCCTCATTTATAAATGAGACTGAATTATAATTTTGTTTTGGACTGACTTAAAAATCAAATCTGGATTTACATAGTTATAAATGGTACCATATAGAATCTCAGGTTTCCCAAGGGGGCATTCACTGTTACCTCTTCGTATTGTAAGTCTACTTATCCTTCAGTAAGTCTACTGCCAAAGATTAGTGTGCAGTCTTGTATTTTCAGCTTATACTTTTGGGGTACATTCTCAGTTCCTTGGAAGTACGGGAATTATAAACTTAACTTCAGGTACATAGTAATGAAGATATGAACATATATTCCCCACATAAAGATTAGAATATGCCTTTCTATTACTCCTTCAAGGACAGACTTTAAGTATATTTCACTCAAATAATTCCATGATGCAAATTTCTTTTTATATTTTCCACTTGGTAAATGTTGTAATTGGATATAATACTGTACTAAGTGAAATTTGAATTTATCAACTGAAAACTTTTGATTTCCATTTATGGAGGAAAATTATTCCTATACAACTTTTATTACCCCATTATGATTATAGATCAAAGCTTTTTATCAGCTAACTATTGTTTTAATTTGCATTTCTCTAATTAGTGATTTGTAGTAGTGGGATTTTTTTTCATATGGTTATAGATAACCTTGGTTTCTTCCCTTGAGAACTACTTATTCATATCTTTATACAATTTATCTATTGGAAAATGGGCTCTTATTCTTACAAATTTGAATAAGTTTTATGTAACATGGAAATGAGGCCTTTATCAGAAAAACTTGCTGCAAAGATTTTTTTCAGTTGTTTTCCTTTTAGTCTTTGCTTTATTGAATTTGTTTGTGCAGAAACTTAAAATTTTTTTTATAATCAAAATTATCCATATTATCTGCTATGAACCTCTCAATCTCTTCTTTGGGGCATGAACTTTTCTTTAATCCATAGATGTGACAGGTAATTCTTTCCAAGTTTTTCTAATTTGTTTATGATGCAACCTTTTATATCTAGGTCATGTACCCATCTGAAGCTTATATTGGTGTAAGGTGAGAGCTACTGATCTAAAACTAATTTCATCCTAAAGTTTAAGTCTGATCATGTTACCTTCCTATTCAATAAACTCATGTGGCTCCCTATTTCTTTTAGGAACAAATATAAATTCCTCTGTCATTTCAAGCCTTTTGTGGCCTTAGCCTAATTTTCAACTTTATTCAACATTACTCTCCTTCCCATATGCTACAGTACAGTCAAAATGGACCTCTTGCTGTGACTCATTTATAACACTCCATTTCCTGTCCCTGTGATTTTTTTACTGGATGTCCTCCATGACATGAAGTCACTCCTAGTTCACTTTTTGCCTTCTTTTCTCTTGTTTCAGAGTCAGCTCAACTCCCACCTCATATATAATATTTTTATAAATATATATAATTATATATAATATATAATATATAATATTTTTCAGATCAGCTCTCTTCCCCAAAGCTGCTTTGTATTTATTATGTGTGTGTATGTGTTGTGTATTTATCTTCATGCTGTCTATCATAACAGAATGTAAACTCCTTGAGATACACAAATAGGGAATATGGGCAGCAAAGGGTCACTGGTACTGGACCTTTGTAGAATTCTTATACAACAACCTTTGAAAACAACTCTTTGCTGAGGAGCCTGCTCAGCTGGGCTCCCAGGTTCTGCTTCTTTCTTCAGACCACAGTGATTATTTTTTATCTATTGTGAGGGATAAAGCTTCCTAAAGGTGTCTCCTTCCTTTCCACATCCATGTATGTCCTCAGTTGTCTCTCTACTCTTAACTGGATGCCTGGATTCCTACAGGTCAGGTCTCATTGATCACATGGTAGGTGACAGGGGCAGGGAAGGAGGAGAGAAAATCCTTTCTTTTCCTACCAAGAGCAATTACCTCTCAGGTCCCTGATTCTTCCTTTACTACTGGCTCCAACTCCAGAACCATGGAAACCTATTGAGAACCTACAGCTATTTGAAGCCCAAAGAAGCATGTAGCTAGACCATCTATACAGCTGATAACAAATATTATTCTCTTTTTGACTCAAAGAGGTTTACAACTCTTAAAATAATCACAGAGTGTAATTTTTACTTTTTTATACATAAACCTCATTACCTGTGATCATTTAATACCTTGTGATTTTGTTCTAGGTTTTCAATTATTACATTAATTGGAGTGGGAGGGGATACGTATCTCTTACATTATCACTTTTCCTCTGATTATGTTAGTTTGTCTTGTTTTTCTTGTGAAAAAGGAAGTTCCTCCAGGGTGGTGTCTTATTCAAGAATATTTCAAATACGTGATGTCATAGTGAGTGCTTTTTACCAAAGGGAATGGATGCTCAGGAAGTTATTTCTGATGGATTAATGTATAAAGTAAAATGATAATGAGATAGTTTTAGCACAACTGATTTATTTGCAACAGGAAAGAAGAAAAAAATATCACTTACTGTCTTCCAAAGGACAAAAGGTGATGTTTACCCAATCTGACTGGTCATCTTCAGATTCAGCCCTGACACGCAAGGTGTAGTTACCATACTTAGAAATATTTGAGAAATCACAGCTGGTGAGGATAATATTCTTGCACTCATCTTCGAATGACCTGTAACTACAAAACCATAAAATAAGGTTTGAGTTCTGATTCTCATTTACCTAGAAGCTGATATATTACTTCTTAGAATATCCATCAGATTAAGATGGGGGAAATTAAGAAAACAGAGCTTAACAGGCTAACCCTGCTTTTCATTATTTTTTCCCCCTTTTTGCTAAGCAATGGGGTTAAGTGACTTGCCCAGGGTCACATAGCTAGTGTCAAATGTCTGAGGCTGGATTTGAACTCAGGTCCTTCTGAGTCCAGGGCCAATGCTCTATCTACTGCACCACCTAGCTGCCCCTTGTTTGTTTTTGAAGACTACGTTTCTACCTGTTGCACCCAGGCTAGAAGCAGCCACTTTTGGGCTGATCTCACTACACATCAGCCTGGGAACTTTGACGTGCACTAATTTTTGCCTGTTTATTAAACAGTCGGGTAACTTCACACCCCTCTACTCCCACTTTTGGAGCTCACCACATTGGTGCCGGATTTAGTGCAGACATCCAATAGGCTTAGTTCACAGTAACTCAGAACTTCTGAGCTCAACAGATCCAATAGCAGGCAGCTAGGTGGCGCAATGGATAGAGCACTGGCCCTGGAGTCAGGAGGACCTGAGTTCAAATCTAGTCTCAGACCAAACACTTGACATTTACTAGCTGTGTGAGCCTGAGCAAGTCATTTAACCCCAATTGCCTAAAACCAAACCAAAACAAACAAACAAATCAAGAGATCCACCAGTCTCAGCCTCCTCAGTAGCAGGGACTACAGGCTATGCCACCATGTTCAGCTACCATTATTCTAGATAAACAATATGTGTAGCAATGTATTAATCTATAAAGGTCTAGGGATTTCTTTAGTGGGGAATGCTCAGTGTAGGAACTGTCTTCAATGGCACATATCACAATCTGTCTATACATATGTTAATAATAAATAAATGAACAACATATAACAGTGATTTCTAAACCATGTCCTAACAATGAAAACAATAACTATAGTTTTAAGTACTCAAAGTAATATAGACCATCCATATTCCTCAGGCTTTCTGAGATAGATATTCACAATTTCCAGAAGTTTGGCTGGTCACTCAAAGTGACCAGAAGATAAAAGACCCTAGCTGCCAGGGTCAGTGACATAATTTTCAAAAAGTAGGTTTTTATTAATTTTCTTCTGTTTTTTATATCATCATAGTATTCCACATATTGCTACCCATCCCTCTCTCAGAGAGCCATCCCATATAACAAATAGTAATTTTTTAGAGAGGAAAAAAAAGTCAGCACAATTGGCTAATATATTGAAAAAGTCCAGAAATGTACAATGTGTAACATCTGTGTACCTCCCACCCTTACAAAGTGGTAGGCTGTCTTCTCATATCTCTTGATCTTCATAGTTTTGTTACATTTACTTTTTTGTTTTTTTTTTGATGAGGCAGTCAGGGTTAAGTGACTTGCCCAGGTCACACAGCTAGTAAATATCATGTGTCTGAGGCTGGATTTGAACCCAGGTCCTCCTGACTCCAAGGCAGAGCTCTAGCTGTTGTGCCACCTAGCTGCCCCTTACATTTACTTTTGATTTTTTTTGGTGTATCATTGTTTTTTCCATTTACATTGTTGTAGTTACTGTGTATGTTGTTTTCTTGGTTTTGCTTACTTCATTCTGCATCAGGTCATATATGTCTTCCTATGCTTCTCTGTATACATCACACACATCGTTTCTTACAGCACAGTAGTATTCCATTACTTTCATGTACCACAATTTATTTAGCCATTCCCCAATTGATGGGCATCTACTTTGTTTCCAATTCTTAGCTATTATCTAAAGTGCTGCTATGTATATTTTGTAACATATGGGGACTTTTTTTTCCTTATTGATTGCTTCTTTGAGGTATAAGCCCAGTAATCGAGTCTCTGGTTCAAAGGATACAGACATTTTCATGATTTTATTTATATAATTCCAAATTGCTTTCCAAAATGGTTCTACCATTTTACAGCTCTACCAACAATATATTAGGGTGCCTATCTTTCCACCTCCCAATATTAACTATTGCCATTTTTGGGTCACTTTTGACAAATTGTATGTTATGAGGTGAAACTTCAGGGTTGTTTCAATTTGTATTTATCTTATTAGTTATTTGGAGCAATTTTTCATGTGGTTGTGAATACTTTGTAGCTCTTCTTTTGAGAACTGTTTGCTCATATGCTTTGATAACTTACAACAACACTGTTACTGTTCACAATGATCTCCCAGTTCTTTTCACTTCACTTTGCACCAGTTCATATAAATCTTGCCATGTTTTTTTTTCTGAAAGCTCCTCATTATTTCTTATAGCACAATAGGACTTCATCACAATCACATGTCCCAACTTGTTCAACCATTATCCAATTGATGAGCATTTCCTCAATTTCTTCAATTCTTTGCCACCACAAAAAGATCTGCTATAGTTCAAATCCAGCCTCAGACACATAACACTTACTAGCTGTGTGACCCTGGGCAAGTCACTTAACCCCATTGCCTAGCAAAAAAAAGATCTGCTATAAATATTTTTGTATCTATAGGTTCTTTTCTTTTTACTATGATATCTTTGGGGTACAGACTTAATAGTAGTATTACTGGGTCAAAGGGTATGTATACTTTTATAGCCCTTTGGGCATAGTTTGGGATTGTTCTGCAGAATGGTTGGACAAGTTTACTATTCTACCAGCAATTCATTAATGTACCTATTTTTCTCATATCCTCTAGCATATGTCATTTCTGATAGGTATGTGGTGGTGCCTCAGAGTTGTTTTAATTTGCTTCTTTCTAATCAATAGTGATTTAAAGCATTTTTTCATATGACTACAGATAGCTTTGATTTCTTTTCCTGAAAACTGCCTTTCATACTCTTTGACCATTTGTCAATTGGGAAATGGCTCTTATTTTTATAAATTTGATTTAGTTCCTTATATAATTGAGAAATGAGGCCTTTATCAGAGGAACTTGTAATTTTTTTCTTTTTGGTATTATTTTATTGCCTAGGGTACCTTTTAGCAAAATGTCATTTCCCCGATGATCTCTTTCAATCAGATCTAATTTTACTTTTGCTTTGTCTGAGATCATGGTTGCCATTCCTGCCCTCTTTACTTCGGTTGAAGCATAATAGACTCTGCTCCAGCCTTTCATTTCAGCTCTATGTCTGTCTATCCCAAATGTGTCTCTCGTACACAATATATTGTTGGATTTTGTTTTCTAAACTATTCGGCTATACACTTCTGTCCTATGAGTTAGCTTAATCCCATTCACATTCACATCTATGATCATTAACTGCATTTCCCCCCATCCATTTTTCTCCGTTTATCCTTCTCTTTCTCTTTTTTATCCTTTCCCTCCTCAAAAATCTGTCTTACTTATGACCACTGCCTCCCTTAATCTACCCTTCCCCTTATGACCTCCCTCTCCCATATCTTGTCCCCTTCCCCTCCTATCTCTGTATTGAGTAAAATAGATTTCTGTACACAACTGAGTATGTAAATATATTCTTCCCTCTTTGAACTGATTCTGATGAGAGTAAGGTTTAAGCATTTTCTATACCGGCACCACCCCCCTCCATTTTCCTCTCCACTATAGAAGCTCTTCCTTGTGTGCCTCCTTTATGTGAGAACATTTGCCTCATTCTGCCTCTCTCTTTCCCTGCTCCCAGTGCATCCCTCTTTCTCATCCTTACATTCTTTTTTTGGAGATCATCCCAACATAATCGAGTCACACCCATGCCCTCTGTCTATGCATACTTCTTCTAACTGAGCTAATAATTATTGAGTTCTTAGGAGTTACATGTTTCATCTTCACATATAGGAATGTAAATAGTTTAACTGCATTGAATCTCATTTGATGACTCTTTCATATTTACCTTTTTATCCTTCTCTTAAGTCTCACGTTTAAATACTATATTTTCTATTCACCTCTGTTTTTTTCATCAGGAATGCTCGGAAATACTCTATTTTGTTAAATATTCATTTTTTTGGCAATATTTTCTCCTTGACTTGGGAGCTCTGGAATTTGGCTATAATATTCCTGAGAGTTTTCATTTTGGGATCTCTTTCAGGAGATCCTCTAGAGCTAAGATTCCTTAAATTGCTACTTTATCTTCTATCTAAAATAGTGGGACAATTTTCCTTGATAATTTCTTGAAATATGATATCTAGATTCTGTTTTTGGATCATGGCTTTTAGGTAGTCCAAAAATTCTTAAATTCTCTCTCCTAAATCTATTTCCCAGTTCAGTTGTTTTACCAAAGAAATATTTCACTTTTTCTTCTATTTTTCATCTTTTTGATTTTGTCTTAGTGTTTCTTGAAGTCTCATGGAATCATTAACTCCCACTTGTCCAATTCTTATTTTTAAGGATTTAAATTTAAATCATTTGAAAATTATTATTTTTATTTTATTTTATTTTTTGGTTAGGCAATGGGGTTAAGTGACTTGCCCAGGGTCACACAGCTAGTAAGTGTTATTGTGTGTCTCAGGCCGGATGTGAACTCAGGTCCTCCTGAATCCAGGGCTGGTGCTCTATCCACTGCGCCACCTAGCTGCCCCTGGAAATTATTTTCTTCAGGAATTATTTCCTCTGTTTCTATTTTTTTCCTATTCTTTTTAAGGCTCTCTTTTCTTCAGTGAATTTTTGTCCCTTTTTTCCCACTTGGCCGATTCTGTTTTTTAAGGTGATATTTTCTTCAGTATTTTTAGGCCCTGTTTTACCAAACTGTTAATTCTCTTTTTATAATTTTGTTATATCATTCTCATTTCTTTCCCCAACTTTCCCCCTATCATTCTTATCTCTTTCTTTAACTCTTCCAGGAATTGTTGTTGGGCCTGAGTCTAATTAATATTTTTTCTTTGAGGCTTTGGTTTTCATATTATTATGTTTTTCTGAGTTAATATTTTGGTCTTCCCTATCATTGTAGTAGCTTTTTTGTTGTTTGTTCATTTTTCTAGTACATTTTTTGGACTTTGAATTTTATGTTAGAGTTGGGGTCTGCTTACCTG